TATTTAAAAATAAGTTTATCCTATGTTTCCAGACTTTCAGATACCTTATAGTTTACAGACAGCAATTAGTATCGTATGAAAACATGCAGATACATTAAAATATATCAAAGGAAAATTTGACAGGCTACAAATTACTAGAGTTTAATATTGATATGAATGTTCCCTATAATTTTGTGAATGTGCACAATACTAAAAATAAATTAAGACTTGCTGTGTAAACCAGAGAACTCTCTTTAAAAGACAGTGAGACTGTCCATTGACAAATGAATGGATAAACACAATGTGATATATCCATGTAATTGACTATTATTCAGCCATAGAAAGGAATGAAATTCTGATACGTGTTACAGCATGAATGGACCTTGAAAACATGGTCAGTGAGATAAGCCAGATACAAAAGGACGTAATAGGCAAATTCAGAGACACAAAAAGTAGAACAGTGGTTACCAGGGGTTGGGAGAAGGGGGAAATGGGGAGTTAAGTGTTTAATGGGTACAGAGTTTTGGTTTGGGATGAAGAAAATGTTCTGGAAAGGAACAGTGGTGACAGTTGAAAAACAATGTGACTATACTTAATGCCACTTAATTGTACACTTGCAAATTGTTAAAATGGTACGTTTTATGTTTTGCATATATTTTACCACAATTCTGTAAAATGTTAACCAAAAAAAAGATACTGAGAGATATCTTAACCTATCTACCACACCTACAATTTTTGTGTGAAGGTCACAGCTGCTGCTTGTTCTGTTTATGAGGGAAAGGTGACAAAAACATAGACATTATCAGCCTATAACAACTCCAGAGTTCAACAGTTCTCCTACCATCACCCTTTGTTTCCAGGCATTTCTTTGAATCTTCTAACATATTTCAGATATCCTCATAACAAAAATGCTTTCGACAAGTCATAATTTATTTTGTGATACATATTTGTTGAAATTTCACATGTTGGGAGACATAAGAGAAAAGCAAGTTATTTTGACTCTAGGCTTCATTTTGAGTGACAAGGAGAATTAAAGTGGAAAAGAAGAAAAACTAAAATTAAGTGATTCCTATATGTTAAAGGAAATTCCACACAGATTTTCTCATTTAATATCATAATAATTCTGGAAAAAACTTTCTCTACTTCATACCTGAGGAAACTGAGAGTCACAGAGGGTAAGAAAATTTCTCGAGTTCACGTAGCTAGTAAAGCTAGGTAGTAAAAACCAACTTGTGACTGTCTCAAAGACACCAAAAAAAGCCCTTTCTGTTACTTAAAATATGGGGGAAAGTGACCACCTTACCATAGTGTTTGTATTGTAGTATCCAAAGAAGGAAGCCCTGATTATGTTTAGATGTAAATCCTAAAAACAAAGAAAAGCCAATAGCAAAAGTTCAGGAGGAAGATAGGGACAATCCCAAAGTCATAAACTCTGATAGGGAAGAGGATTAAGGCTGAATGAGAGGTTGTTAAAACAAGAGCCTGGTGATATAATGATTATGATAAGGAAGAAAGATGTCACAGGGTGAGGAGCATTGGAATAGCTTTAAAGAAACCAAAGTATTTCCATGGGGAACTTTCTGATCAACAAGGGTGTATTTTAAGATGACTTACCAACAACTATAACAAAGGTTAAGAGAAGGGCAGAGCCGCAAGGGGCTGGTTCTTGTGAGCTAGCGGAGGGTGCAGCTAAAAATAACCCAAAACAAAACAACAAAAAAACCCTAAAAGCAAATGCTAACATCCTAAATGAACTGAGCCTAACAGAAAAACATGGCAACAAAAATCAAGAACTTGAATATACCTAAAGATCTAAAGATAAATTTCAAAAGAGCAAGAAAAACAACAGAGTCAATGCCATCATGTAAACAGAAAACTGAAGAAATAACGGAGTGATTCAATTTCCAATTTTATTATTTTCTCAAAAATAAAATAAATATTTAAGTCCCAAGATAGAAAAAAAGATAATAAGTGAGCATCTCACTCTTTAAATAGATTTAAATCCTATAAGGTACATTCCAGATTTCAACTTCAAATAATTTTTTAAACATGAATAAAAAAAGCACAGCAGACCATTAATGGGAAAAGTCATCTCAGTTTTCAGCATGTGCAAGATGTATCTGGAAGCCATCAAGTACAATATTTCTGTGAGTGACTTTAAAATGTTGACCTTTGCATATAGCAAACTAATTCTCTAGAAGTGTTCTCCACCAGTGGAATCCCAGTTTGAAAACTTTCCACCTTAATAGACCCGTATGCCCCTCTAGCAGCTGTTGGGTCCGAAGTATGACACTAGGAATATCAGGCATACCTTAAAATAAAATATAAATCTTGCCTTGAGAACAAAAGAATAATGTCGCTAGTACAGGAGGCTCAGCAGATCAGACAGAAGTCAAGCCAGTGCTATAGAATCTGACAAAAGCTAGGGGCAAGAAAAAGAATTAGACCTGAGAATAGAGCAAAATTCCCTAGGAAGGTCAGAAGCGAAACACATCTGACTGCTATTAAATCTCTCAGGGGCATTCTACCCTCTCCAGCATCACCTTGAACCAAGGGGCCTTATGAGAAAATAAACAGGTTTTGGAAATGCAGCCAAACTAACTGTTCAGCTTACTCGACAGCAGAGGAAAGACTCAGGGAAAGTAAAGAAAGACAGACAAAAATCCCTCTAATACCGCTCCATTCCTTTGGGGAAGCGCTGAGAATCAGAAATATCCCAAGCCCCGGATATTCTGAGCATTAGCCCCTGTCCTCCTCCCTTCTTATTAGCACACAGCCTCATTTGTAATAATAGCTGCTACACCACACTGCCTCTGGCATTGTCTGGCATTACGACTCACTACTCTGTTTATCAGCATGGTTCCTGCAATGTTTCAAGCTCTTGGCTCACTTCTGCTATTGACGTTGGTCAGCTCAAGTCTTCAGACGCGGATATATCAGAGTGAGAACAGAAGTTGCTGCAAAAGGTCCAGAAAGCAAGGCTATTATGATCAGATGCCACAAAACCAAGATCTCACATATCTAACGAATAGATCCCAATGCATCCTATCATCTAGTTTAGGGAAGGCATAAAAGAAAAGGAAGTAACAGGGACAGACTGATTTGGAATTAGATTCTATGCAGAATTTCAAAGGAATGGGGGCACCTGGGTGCCTTAGTCAAGTGTCTGCCTTCGGCTCAGGTCATGATTCCAGGCTTCTGGGATCGAGCCCTGCATTGGGCTCCCTGCTCAGCGGGAAGCCTGCTTCTCTCTCTCCCATTTCACCTACTTGTGTTCCCTCTTGCTGTGTCTCTGTCAAATAAATAAATAAATCTTTAGGGGAAAAAAAAGAATTTCAAAGGAATGACTATTCCTCTTTCGACAGAAAACAAGAAATCTAGATGCTTTAATCTTTTCTTAAAATAGAAAGTTGCACAATTTAGGGACTATATGTTCTCTTCATCCGCTTTAGAGTAGTTACTTCTCTGAATTTCCCCAAAGAATGCTAATATAATTGAGTTCTTTTTTTTTTTTTAATTGAAGTATAGTTGACACACAATGTTACATTCATTTCAGATGTAGAATGTAGTGTGGAAAACTCTGGGTACACAATGCTACAAAAGTAGTTAACATCTGTCACCATACAATGTTGTTATAATCGTTATAGTTTCTTTTTTTTTTCTTCCTTATCCTTCTCTTTTTTATTATTATTATTAACATATAATGTATTATTTGTTTCAGGGGGTACAGGCCTGTGATTCATCAGTCTTACACAATTCACAGAGCTCACCATAGCACATACCCACCCCAATGTCCATCGCCCAGCCACCCCAGCTCCCTGCCTGCCTCCCTTCCAGCAACCCTCAGTTTGTTTCCTGGGATTAAGAGTCTCTTATGATTTGTCTCCCTTTCTGGTTTCATCTTGTTATATTTTTTTCTGTCTCCCCCTATGATCCTATGCCTTGTTTCTCAAATTCCACGTATCAGTGAGACCATAGGATAATTGTCTTTCTCTGATTGACTTATTTTGCTTAGTATAATACCCTTTAGTTCCAACCACGTCATTGAAAATAACAAGTTATAGTTTAGTTCTTAATAAACTGTTCTCTATGACTTAATTCTACCCAAAAGAGAACACGTAAAACAATATCAACACACAAAAAAATCAACATGAAATTAGCACTAAAAACCTAACTAGGATTTATTTTCTTTGTATACATTATTTACACTGATAAGTTAGAATTTGATTTTTGTACCTTATCTCAGGATATCAATCCCTTGAGATGCTCTAGGATTAATAAAGAGCTCTCCTCCAAGAGACTGCTGGATGGAAAGGAATGATCTGAGAGGCGTATAGGAAGTGGACCCCACCAGATTAGCCCTGCAAGGAGAGTATAATCTCCCTCTCTCTCTCTCTCTCTCTCTCTCTCACACACACACACACACACACACACACAACTTTCCTTTCTTCTTTTCCAGCTCTCCGGAACTGCTTCCTCCTCATGCCCTACTCAACCCAAATGTTTCCTAGCCTAGAACTTACTGGATTCCAATAAATGAAGGGAAATCACTGAAAAAGGCACTGAAGCCCTTGCCACAGTCTCTTTGTTCCCATGATATCTCTCTCTTCTGCTCCCTCCCAAATTCCACCAGCTGTTGCACAGGAATCTGCTATCTCATTGTTGTTGGACCCGTATGTTTTTGGCTCTAATGCTTTCTTTTCATTAGACCTGTATTTCAGGCCTAATTCCTATCTGTAATAGTCACCATCCTTCCACCTCCAGCACACACATAGACACACATACAGGAGTATGCAAACATCTAGGATTCCATACCTGAGGGCTGCTGGGTCAAGCAGAGAAAGAGTAAGGAGTAGGAAGGAGGGAAGGAGCAGGGGTAGAGGGGGAGGAAGGAAGGGAAAGAGGAAAGAGAAGGATAGGAAAGGAGAAGAGTGTTCCTTTTGTTCCTCAAAAGAGAATACACAATACATTGGAACAGCATTCACCAACAAAACAACCATCTGCTAAATGTTTATGTTTACCATTTCCTGTCTGTCTGTGAACTCAAGGAGATGTGAATCTTTATCCAGGCAGAATTCCAGGCTAGAGTTCCAGTCTTTTTTCTCCATTGAGAAGTAATAACAGTAGTTACCATTCTTCATAAAGAGGTCTGGACAACTGCAACAACTGGCACAACTAGTACGACTGGAACCTGGAAAGGAAGAGGACCTGGTTCACATCTTTATGGACCACTAAGTCTTGGAAATGAAATGGGAGATAAATAGAGCATGGAGGTTGCCCAGTCTTCCCTGCCCTACCACTTTTCAGACTGAGGTTTAGAGAAAGGCACAATAATGCCTGGCCTCGAAATAAAATCTTCATGATGTCCAGCTCTCTCACTACTCCTGTGTGTTCCACCACTGAAGCATGTGACTAGGACTAAAGCAGGTCAGGAAATGGATACAGCCTGGCGGAGGACCGTGGACAGAGTACATCACTTGTGCTAGAGATCCTTATGCACATCTGCTGTATTCATACCCGATAAAATAACTAAGCATCTGCATTATATGTATCTGCCCATTGTCTATGTAGTTTTAGTGCACACACTGTGTAACTGCATAATATACATCGCTGAAATCAGGCCAAATCTTCCAAAATGTCCAACCTTAACTTGATACCACATGATAATGCAAAAGAAGAAAAGGACAGAAACTAGAAAAAGCAAACTTAACTAGAGTGTTTTATCATTTATCACAAATGTGATTGTTATCATTAGATATTAGATAAAAGACTTACATACACTTCAGCAAAAATAATTTATCGAAGAAAAATTTCTGACAAAGATATCAGATGCTGAAGTCAGAAGTGATGTAATTTCTTCACAGGGCTCTTTTAAATACAGAACATTCTCACTCCTTTAAAATGGCCAGATTAGGGGCACCTGGGTGGCTCAGTGGGTTAAGCCTCTGCCTTCGGCTCAGGTCATGATCTCAGGGTCCTAGGATTTAACCCCACGTCTGGCTCTTTGCTCAGCGGGGAGTCTGCTTCCCTCTCTCTGTCTACTCGTGATCTCTGTCTGTCAAATAAATAAATAAATAAATATTTAAAAAAAAAAAAAGGTTAAAATGGCCAGATTATATCTTTTAAAAGTGGGGAGGGGGTGCCTCCATGGCTCAGTCAGTTAAATGTCTGCCTTAAACATCTGTCTTCAGCTCAGGTCATGATCTTGGGGTCCTGGGAATAAGCTCCACGTTGAGGTCCCTGCTCAACAGGAAGTCTGCCTCTCCCTCTCCCTCTGTCCCTCTCCCTGCCTTGTGCTCACTCTCTCTCAAACAAATAACTAAAATCTTTTTTAAAAATGGGTGGATTATAGTTCTGTGAAAATGAAAGGAAACCTAATAAGCTTTCAAGGTCATTTCAGCCAAGATTCCATAATTCTATTGATTTTGTACTTTCATAAAACATATTTGTATAAACTCCTCACAGGCACAATTTCACAACAGGCACACAGGAGCCATTATAGCAAATGAGCACGTGTGGATATATGACTGCATAATAGGTTATATACCTAATCTAGATTTGGGGGTTAAAAAGCAAAGGCAGTCTTTTTTTTAAAATGTCAAAATTAGGCAGCTTTTCTGTGGCTTGACATGGGACCAATATAGGGTTCTGGAGATTAAGCTACAAAGTTGGCACTTTATAAATTTATGCTTTTTCCATACAACTGTGACATTACCCAGCCTGAATGAGAAATTCCCAACTTTCTTGAAGTCTCTTTCTGTCAAAGGATTTGGGTCTGAGGTAGAGGTCCTAGGGCTGAACCCTTAGGTTAGGATTAGAGTCCTAATGAATAAAGTCTGTAAAACAATCATCTGTCACTAACAATCATCTTCAGATAACATAAACTTAAGTCAGGACTCTGGATTGTGAAACAATAAACCGAGTGCTTTCTGGATCATCATAGTTAATGACCTAGAAGAATTAAATCTAGAAAATTTCACTTCAAACATTGTGAAAGCACTCTAGCTGAAAAAAAATCAGAATATATTTAATTAAAATTTGATATATCTATTATGTGAAAAGTTAAATACAATACATAAATAGTACAATTTTAACTTTATTATCATAATAAATATGGTATTAGGAAAGTGTTTATGACATAATATAATTAAAAAGCAATATATGAATTATAAGCATCCAATGATTAGAACTATACCAGTCTTACCTTAAAAAAAAAAAAAGGTGGGGAAGATTTTAGAGGACTTGATAGTCTTTGTTAAAAGAACAAATACTTCTACAATGCATGTAGTCAAAGACTAGGAGGTGACAGTCAGGAAATGTTGTGTACAAGTGATGATTTATTTCGTTGGCATTTTCATTTTTCAAATTTTCTGTTATATTATATTGCTTTTATAACACAATATAGGTAAATTAGGGATACTTGGCTGGTTCTGTCAGAAGAGCATGCAACTCTTGATCTCAGATCATGAGTTCGAGCCCCACACTGAGTGTAGAATTTACTTAAATAAGTAAACTTTTTTTTTTAAAGAGGCAAAACAAAAGATTTTGACTTAAGTTAATACTTACCCTGGCAGTGAATCCATTGGACAAGCAGGAGACATACAAAAATGATGTTCAGAAGTCCCAAACCTATTGCCACCTGGTATGAGAGAGGGAACCTGGAAGAAGAAACTGCAAGAAGAGAATCCAAACAAAATCCTGAGTTAGAATAAAAGTTGAAGGACAAGAAAAGGCAAAGGATATCTGGAGTCTTGAACAAATTTGGCCTAGTGAGAACTGAGACCTAGGCCCTAAAATTTTCCTTGCTAGATATTAGGGATTTGCTCTAAAGTCTAGAGTGACAACCCACATCTTTATCAGGAAACATCCTATATTTATCGAGTTAAGAATACTTTTTTCTTGGGACACCTGGATGGCTCAGTTGGTTAAGCATCTACCTTCTGGTTGGTTGTGATCCCAGAGTACTGGGATCGGTCCTGCATCAGGCTCCTTGCTCAGTGATGGGCCTGCTTCTCCCTCTGCCTGCCGCTCCCCCTGCTTGTGAGCTCTCGCTCTGACAAATAAATAAATAAAATCTTAAAAAAAAAAAGAAAGAAAATACATTTTCACTATAGTAAAATATTTAATGAAATAAATTATTTTAGATGTTACGCAAAATGAAAAGAGGTGCCAAAACTTAATTGCATTTGTGTAACCACAATTTGTGAAATTTTAAATTTTTTTTTAAATTTACTTTAGAAATATACATATTAAAAGGCTTTTAGTAGAGTACATACAGTACATTGCATAGACAAGCAAAAATAGATCAAAATAGTAACAGTAATAATCACCACATTGTTGTAAAATTATTAGTGATTTTTATTTTCTTTTATCTGCTTTCATATGTTCCCTATTTTCCATAACAAACATGTAATAATTTTCTAAAGAGATTTTTAATGTAATTTTAAAGCTCCTAGTCTATTTTCCTTTTCCCAAATATAGTACCCTGGAAAACTGGGGTAGAAATGAGCATACTGGCAGCAAACAAGAATGGGCAATGTGGACTGTATATAAATAAAAAACTACTTGCCTAGAAATCAAAATAATTATATTCAAGTTCCAACTTACCAACACCTCTGTGACCCTGCCCTTAAACTTTAGAATGTCGATTCCTTTAACTTAACGTTCTTATTCCTTAGAAATTGGTACAGATTTAAACCAAAAGAAATCTACATATAAATGAAAATATCCAATGCCATATAAATTAGAGTAATGGAAATAAATAAATGTCCAGGGGCGCCTGGGTGGCTCAGTGGGTTAAAGCCTCTGCCTTCGGCTCAGGTCATGATCCCAGGGTCCTGGGATCAAGCCCCGCATCGGGCTCTCTGCTCAGCAGGGAGCTTGCTTCTCCCTCTCTCTCTCTGCCTGCCTCTCTGCCTACTTGTAATCTGTGTCTGTCAAATAAATAAATAAAATCTTTAAAAAATAATAATAATAAATAAATAAATGTCCAAATGTACCAGAATGACGTAGCGAATTATAGTATTGCTTTCAAAGAACAACACTAAAAATTATAATAATAAGATTATGTAGCAGAAGAGAGAAAGCTGATGAAGTCGCCCTAAAGAACATACTTTATGGGAGTGTATTGCCTAAGATAAAAAAACAAATATTAATTTTGGCTCTTATACTATAATGTGTCTATCCCAGAAAGCGTTTTTTTCAGGGCTCCATGTAAAAATATCTTTTTCATCCTCAAATCCCCAAAGAGTCACTGGGAATACTTATTTGTAATATTCTTAATGCCTTCTTCCTACTCCCGTCACACTCCCGTACAGTACTGTGGGAGGGAAACCTAGAGAACGTGAATCAGTTTCTTTTCTGACAAACTTACTATCATCCATTAGCAAAGTTACTGGTGTCTTTCTCCCGATTTCAAAATCAGAAAAACAGAGATATTTAGAATTTAAGCAGCCTTAGCTTGGGTTTCATAGATGAGACCTTAGAAGTGAACAGTTAGAAAAGACTTTACCTAAGAACTAAGAGCAGATCCATGACTGTATACCAGATTTTCATACCCCCAGTCTGGACTTCAAACTGAACCAGATGTATTCCTTCAAGTTACCATCATTTTTCTGCATCCTCTACTCCAAACTTATTCTACCTTCCATTCATCTCTTAGTCTATGGGCACTGTGCATTGTTTTGCACACTAACCTGATTAACTCACCTTTTTGCTGTGGTCTGCAATCATTCTGGGTTTGAGGTTCAGTCGACAATGGAAATGTAGAATAAATAACATTGTCCATTATCTCCATCTAATATCATTCGCATTCAGTTGAGAGAGTAAAATTACAGAAGTGTGAAGAGACATATGTCAGTGAGGGAACAACCCGATGTCTCAACCGCGAGCAGGAAATTTGAAGGTTTTCAAGTTGGGTTTTTTTTTGTTTTGTTTTTGTTTTTTTTTTCAAATGGCCCAGTATGATAAAGACAGAAGCAGTTTTTCAGGAAATGGCTCAAAATCTGCAGCTGATTAAGAAATTAATATTCTAGGGGAGCCTAGATGGCTCAGTTGGTTAAGCGACTGCCTTCGGTTTAGGTCATGATCCTGGAATCCTGGGATCCAGTCCCACATCAGGCTCCCTGCTTGGAAGGGAGTCTGCTTCTCCCTCTGAACCTTCCCCTTCTCATGCTCTCTCTCTCATTCTCTCTCTCTCTCAAATAAATGAATAAAATCTTTAATAAATAAATAAATAAATAGAAATTAATATTCTAAACTATGATTTTTTTTCTGCCTCAGCACTCTCTAGATATTCATTAAGTGCATATTGATTCCCACCTCACCCAGTCTATTTAACAAGGAAAAGTTTCTCTGAAGTCCAGCAATTTCAATTATAGAAACTGGAATAAAAATGACAGTGTTCTTAGCTATGAATTTATCTCAGATTTTATATGTGCTTTGTTTCCTTTTGAGAAAATAGATGCATGCCAAATGGGACCGTTTTCATCGTTTCTTAGAGCTTTTGGTTAGTGATATATGACAAGAGAAATTGACTATTGGTTGCATGTGCCTGGCATCATGGGAAAAATGAACTATTTCCCTGATATAGGTTTTGTGAATGTGGTGTACCCCTACATTCCCCCAAATATCTTCCCGATTGTGTTCTAATCTTTACACTTCATTGGGTCAGAAATTCCATTAAATTTTCTCTCCTTGTTCCTTTATTTTTTTTTAAATATTTTATTTATTTATTTGACAGACAAAGATCACAAGTCAGCAGAGAGAGAGGAAGGGAAGCAGGCTCCCAGCCAAGCAGAGAGCCTGATGCGGGGCTCGGTCCCAGAACCTGGGGACCATGACCTGAGCTGAAGGCAGAGGCTTTAAACCACTGAGCCACCCAGGAGCCCCTGTTCCTTTACTTTTATATGCAAAGACAGCTATAAGGAGAACAAATTAAATAAATACATACTAAAGGGTGAATAATGTATTTCTAATAGGTGAAACGTTAATAAGTAGTTAAAGTAAGGAAAACAGAAACGGAATTAAAATCTACATAAGTTCAAGACAGGAAAGAGATGAAAAGCAGGGAGAGCATACTAATAAAAACTAGTAGAGCTCCGGGGCAACTGGCTGCTCAGTTGGTAAAGCATGCGACTCATGATCTCAGGGTCATGAGTTTGAGCCCCTTTGAGGGGCTTTGAGCCCCCCAGAGATAACTTTAAAAATAATAATAAAAGTTTAAAAATTAAAAAAAAAAAAAAACTAGTATAGTACTGCTTCCCACCATGACAGAGTAAGACTGGATTTGCTCTTCAACCAAAAAACTATATATGGGGATGGCCGGGTGGCTTAGTTGAAGCTTCTGCCTTTAGATCAGGTCATGATCCCGGAGTCCTGGGATCAAGTCCTGCATCGGGCTCCTTGCTCTGTAGGGAGCAAGTTTCTCCCTCTGCCTGCTAGTTTCTCCCTCTGCCTGCTAGTCCCCCTGCTTGTGCTCTCTCTCTGTAATGACTAAATACATTCTTTAAAAAAAAAAAAAAAGAACTATATATGACAAAATACATAAGCAACTGTTTTCAGGCACAGACGTACAGGCAGCACAGCAATCCCTGAGAGAATGAAACATGCAAAGATGAGCACCAGCATCACCCTGGCATTACACTACCCAGGGTCACTTTCTGGCCCAAAGCAGGAAACTGAATTCTTTTTTTTTTTTAATTATTTTTTTATTTTTTTATAAACATCTAACATACTATTAGCCCCAGGGGTACAGGTATGTGAATCACCAGGTTTACACACTTCACAGCACTCACCATAGCACATACCCTCCCCAATGTTCATAACCCTACCACCCTCTCCCTACACCCCTACCCCCAGCAACCCTCAGTTTGTTTTGTGAGATTAAGAGTCTCTTACGGTTTGTCTCCCTCCTGATCCCATCTTGGCAGGAAACTGAATTCTAAGAGCAGCAGTCTCACCAAGCTCAGGAGGCAGGTGCAAGTTTTGAGCTGTTTATGTGCCTGGGGTTTGCAGGGCAGGGTAACTGACAAGAGACTGCAGAGAGAGGTATCCAAAAAACAGCATGGGAATTCACCACGCTCCTTGGCTAAGAGCTAGGCTGCACAGGCAGAGGACAAGCCCCTAGCAGCCCCCATCCCCACTGAGATGGCCTCCAGCAGGGCCGACAGCTGATTAGAGACCCAACGTGAGGCAGTGTTGACCAGTGTGAACAGAGAAAAAAAAATAAATAAAGCCTGACAGAACCAAAAAGATCTACCAGTAATTTAGCTGTCCCAACGAACAAATTTTGATGCCCTTAAAAAGAAGACAACAGAGACAAAATGTGGTCTAACATAAAATGGGATATTATTCAATCTTAAAAAGGAAGAAAATTGGGTCACACTCTACAACATGGAGGAACCTGGAAGACGTTATGATAAATGAAATAAGCCCATCCCCACACACACACAAATACTCTATGATTCCACATATATGAGGTATCTAAAGTAGTCAATTCATAGAAACAAAATAGAACAGAGATTGCTGGAGCTGGGGAGCAGGAAGAACAGGGAGTTATTTAATGGTTATAGTTTCAGTGCTGCAAGATGAGAAACTTCTGGAGCTCTGTTGTACAACAAGGTGAATGAACATGTATCAGTCTGCTTAGAGAGCCATAACAAAATCTCCTA